ATTTGTCACCACATCAATGACTAAAAGTCACAAATATAATGATAAGTAGAAGTTCCACAAAGTTATTTTACTGCATTTTATTAAAAACTTACTCTGCTTTTTAATAATTTCTTTTGAAGCTAAGACTTAGGCAGATATTATCTAACACTCTACATCTTCTAGGAAAGACATGACATAGCTCTATCTCTAACCTTGCCTGAGTTACAGTCCCTGTGTAAGTAGAACTGAAAATGGTTGATATTTTCCTAGCATACGATGCAGTATGTTTCATTATAAATGCTTGGCCTCCAGCTGATGTCACTATTTTGAGAGGATCTGGAAACTTTTGGAGGTCTGACCTAGCTGGCAGAAGATGGTCACTGGGGATGGAGCAGTGAAGGTCATATCCATCCTCTGATACCTACTGTCTGCAAAGGTATTAACAGGTGTTCTCTCTCACACACATGCTACATCACACTAAAAGCTCATGTTCTAGCATTGCTCCAACAGTTACTCTAGTTTGTTCTACCTCTATATCACTTACTCAATATATATCATGCCCAAGCACATGAGGCCAAAAAATTGTGAACAAAAAGCCTGTAAACTGTGAACAAAATAAACTTTTCACTCTCCTGAAATATTTCTTTACAGAGTTTTGGTCACTATGGCATGAAAGTAAGTAGTGTGATATGTGATAATATCTGTCCAATTATGACATAAGCCACTGAACAGAGCTTCCATAGTCAATTCCAAAAATAATAAAGTGAAAGACCAAGCAAGTGACATAATACAAAACAAAATGATGGGGTCTACAAACTGAAATAAAGCAGTCAATAGAAACTGTCCCCATGGAAGTCTAGATGACATGCACAAAAGATAAAGGCTTTAATCAATAATGAATTATTGTAAATGTATTCAGATAATTATGGAAGTGGTGTCAAAATTAATGAAAAGATGAGAAAGATGTCTTGATAAGTTTAAACTATCATTAAAGAGATATGAATTATAAAAGACATTGAGACAAAAATTCTGGAGTTGAAATACATATTCATTGGAGTGATGCTCAATAGCAGAGTTGAGCAGACATAAGAAGGAATAAAAGAGTTTAAAGATAGTTCAACTGAGATCATCCATTCTAAGAAAGAAAGAGATAATTGTACTTGAGACTACTCATTCTGAGGAAAAAAATGTTAAGGAAAATATGAAGTAAGAGATTTTTGAAACACTGGCAAGAATGTTATATTTTGGAATCCAAAAAGGAGACATAAAGATGAGAGAGGGCAGAGTTTTTGAATGACAAAGGTTAAAAAGAAACAAAAACCCTCTTAGACTAAAGAAATACTGATTTCCATAATGAGAAGCTGTAAGATGTTGATACCTATACAGACTTTGTCAAAAGCCATAACCTGAGAGACAATCTTAGGAGAAGCTGGAAAAAGCATCACTCCCTCTACAAAGGGTCCTCATTAAAACTAGTGTCAATTTTCTACTCAGAAAGCACGAAGGTCAGAAGACAGTGCATGGCAGAACAAGAATGCAAAGAAGCACTGGTGGTTTGCTTACAGGATAAAAAGTGTAGAACATCAACAACTAAGTTAACAATAACCTCACTGTGGTATTATCAGAAAACACTCCTAGATAAATCAGTAGCTTTCCAAAATTAATGACTTGGTAGCTTCTAAATATCCACCTTTTCTGACATTCTTAACCTTTTAGGATCCTTTTCTGGCTTTATTTTCTATCTTCAAGTTGTTGATGTGAACTCTTCTTGATGCTCCTGTTCCCTGTGTCCTGATATAGTCAGTCCTACTCTTTTCCTAATCCACTGGCATGTCTTTGCACTACTGTGACTTTTCACCTTGTTTGTAAATCTTGTCTGAAAGCTTAGCTCCAGAGAGTTGCTTTTCAAAGCTTTATAAATATCTCAGTTCTTATGTTTACTGAGGAAAAGGCCCTGTGAATTTTAATAAGAAAGGCCAGTTTATGTAACAATTTAGGTTCCTAGCAGTCTAGGAAATTCGCCTTTAAACTCAAGTAAGTTGAGAGCTGGACATTTATTTTTGTATGAATAACTTCTTTTTCAACTAAATCCGGCAAAGAAGAAACTTCCTGGCTTTCTCCACAGCTGAGGGTCACAGACATTTCATACTGTGGCAGCTCTTCAGGAGTTGGGATTTGGATAGTTGATCCTCCCTGCAGACCCAGAGTGGCTCAATGGGCTTTAGACCACAGGACCTCAACCCCGACTTCCTTGGAGTTCCTAGATTCATAAGCCATCTTTGATATGTCAATGCATCACAGCATAATTAGACTCTATGTAGTATTCTGACCTTTGTTTTATGAGATAGTGTCTGGCTATGTAGCCCAGACTGGCCACAAGCTCAGGATCCTCCTCTGGCAGCCTCAAGGATGCTGGCATCATAGCTGTGAATTACATGTCTGGCTGGCACTTGTTTTATTTTGGACATGTATCCTTTAGTCAGTTTGGTTGGGCAGTTTGTTTGTTTCCTTATTTGCTTTTAGCTTTTAGTTATTTTGTTATGCTGAAGATGAAACTTAGAGCTTCATACATTTCATTTGAACCGTTTTCAAAGAACTTCACCAAGACCATTTAGTGTCCCTACACAGAAATATTTTGTTTAAATATAAGATGTAAATAAAGAACACTGACTTTGACTTTATAAACATTTAACTTTAGTATGGAGATCTGCTCCTCCTTTTTCTCTATGCCCACTCCTTCCAATTCTAGTCTTTTTTCTTCTTCTCCACATATTTCACATACAAACTTGACTTCTAAGTCACAGAAAAAAAAAGACCTAGAAAAGGAGGACCAATATGAAATGAATACTAAGAAGTTCAACTTCTATTTCCTTGAACTTTTCTTTGAAAAAGTTGTCACTTTTCTTAGGATAAGTAGAATTCCACCAAGGATTTATTAAAAATGCAGAAATCATGGTCCTGTACAATACATAGAGATTCTGATTTAGGGTCCTGCAGAACTCCTATAGATCCAGACATCTGTACTTTATTTAGTGTCTTTGGATTATAATCTGATAAATCCAAACATACAAACAAACATACAAACAAACACTAGACATGAGTTTGTTTATTCTGTAGTTTAGAATTTGCTAATGAAAGAGAGTAAAGAGGAAATCTCCCTAACCAAGAGTTCTGCTTCTTTAGAACAAAAATTTACAAAGATTTCTCTTCAGTTGTTCTAAAGTATCTTTTCTTACAGGTATACATTTAAAAAAACAAAGTAACAAAAACAAAACCTATTTAAGCTAAACCATGCAATTAGAAATGTGCACTACTGCAAAGATCCTGAGAATATCTTTTTTTGGAAACTTACTTCAATGATGATTTTGTCTCAGGAGAAATTAAATAATTTCATAACATTTCCTAGGTATTATTTATAAAAAATGAGTCAGGAAACAGGTGTTTCAATTGGAAGGATGAACTTACTGTCTTCCAGTCTTATGAATTCCCAACATACAAAGCTGTAAACTCCAAGCAGGCTACTTGGTTCTCACAGATTTGTACCATCTATTTACCTTCACTGAGAAAACATAGATGATCTAGCTGTGTGTTGCCAGCTGTCTTACAACCTCAGTGCATGGAGAGCAAGTGGACAAGATGCCAGAGCTTCACATATCCCAGCCTCTGGCTATTGGAGGCATCTCTTGACAAATACTTGCGTGTCTGTGCTTGAGTCCAGCTACTCCAGCTACGGCGCATGCTAACATTTCATTACCAGATGGCTCTTCTTACCACCTAATTATTTTAAATCCTGGTTTTATTTCCAACAATTTACCATTGTCAAGGGTCACCCTTTGTAAATTACTTCTGAGATAAAGTATTTGTGGTCCTACGTCTGATTTTAAGGGTTTACAAATGACCTTCTTTAGAATGATAGATAGATAACTTAGCAAAATCCATGAATAAAACTATGTATCCAATAACAAAACTGCAATATAACTACAGGTAATATTTATAATAATATTATAGTTATTTTTTTCAATCTAAATTCTCCTTATTAAATAAGTTGAAAGGCACAAACCCCCTAATTTATCCTCTCAATGACACACATTGATCCACACTTCAGGTATTTGTGGAGGCTTGTTAAATGTCTGAATAAGATGAAGAAAGAACAAATTTACACCTCGTTGGAAGAGGAGAAAATTCAGAAGTTTAGGAAGACTATATGCAAAAATACAATATGTATTAAATGTCCTAGATAGAAGAAAGTTCTGAGGATTTTTATGCCCTTTATATTGCTTAGCTGTGTAGTCTAGTCTTAAAACTGGTCATAAGCATGGGTTACAGAGAAAGGAAGTAAGTTTAAACATGTGATTGCTAACAACACACTGTCATAGATCCTTTTTTGTATTCAGGTTTCAGTTCATTGTCAGGATCACATAAAGGCAGTTATCAAATGGCATTCTATAAAAATGTTGGTTTTGCCAAATTCAGGCACCTTTGTTTGATTTGATAGCTAAATTAACTCAAATTATGCACATAGCATGTCTATTTAATACCTGTAACAGTTGTTTGGGTTTCTTTCTCAATATAAATCTTATGAAGGTTTCAAAAGAATTTGGTGAAAATAACTGAAAAAAGCAATAACATATGACCTCATGTCTATTTAAATATGAATGGACAAGACGGGAGAGGAATGGGTTTACATGTCTATGCATGTTCCAAGTTGTTACTTTTGTACCCCAAGCTGCTTATCCTAAGACCATTTTATTCATAATTTAACAGATGAGTACAATTTCTCATATAATAATTACCCAATCCTATAATGTTTTGAAATTTTCAAATACTCCCAAGTTGTCGCTAACACTATCTTACACTATTCAGAGAAGATTCTAGCTGGATCATCCTCTGTTGGTCTCAAGAAAAACAATTCATGTTTCCAAAGTTAGCTTATCAACCTCTCTCCCAATTAGGATAACACTCAATCAATGTTATTGTAGAATTTGGTAAGTCATTTGTCACACAACATGGAATCTACTCACGTTTTTCTTGCTCTGCTTCAACTCCTTCACTTTCTGTGTCACTTGGCAAGAGCCATGGTTGATGCACAACCTGCAATTGCTTTAAAGACTCATCCTGCCAGAGAAAAGATTATTTTAGATTAAAGTCTCGGTTGATACCAAAGTGGTTGAGCACTTCAGCTTCTACAATTTGCATGTTAAAAAGCCCTATGATGTGCCCCACAGCAGAAATGCATTCTAAGCTTAAATTCCTTTTTATGTCATATATATGAATCTCTTGACTCCAAAGTCACTTTAAATTCTTCTTTAGTAAGATGTAGAGAAAGAGAATTAAATCTAGACTGTGATCCTTCTGAATTAATGTTTTATATAAATCTTGACCCTCATCCTTAGAAATATTGTCACAAGGTGCACAAGATAAAATTGGGTAAGTGGTGCCTTTAATAGCCTAACAACTTTAACTTCTTTAAGATGTTTGGAGAGTAGGGTGGTTGATATTTGTTTACCCTGGTTACACCCTTAGTATTTGCACACTACCTTCTTGCTCTTCCTACTGCCTTATTCATTTGCACAAGTTTCCCGAGTAGCCACTCAGCTTCAATTCTGTTTCAGTTGAAATATTTATCATATAATCCTTACTCTGCTCTTTCCCTTCTGTCAGCGACTACACATAACTTATCATTTCTCATCTGTCTGCAGTAAGGGACATTTATGAAATTTCAGGAATCAACTTTCATATACCCTCTAGATCTCCACATCAGTCATTTCTGGGTGAGACTGAAAGAAGTTGTATGGTGTTATCATTTCCTTGCTTATAATTTTTTTGTTGTGGCTGTCACATCATTCCATTGATAAAATCTAATTCAAGTTGTTTTCTGATTCCTACAGTCTCCTTCCCACCTCTATATCTGTAGCTATAATTATCTGGCAATATTGTCATACTTTTACTCTCACAAGATTATTTTACACTGAACTTCCTTCTCTCTCTCTCTCCTACATGACAACCCTCTTTCTATGCTTAATGTCCATCTGAACTGGGAGCTCTGCCTGACCCTGCAGGGCAAGTTCCTTCTCAATTTCCTTGTGGACTTAATAAATCAATATAAAAATTACTATATAATAAGTACCCATTCATACTTTCCTGCCTTAGTAATAATATAGAATCCTTATAGGCACAGTATCTGCCACAAAACAGAGACCTACCATGTAAGCAATTAAGGAGGAGAAAATAAGAAAGAGAAAAAGAATATTAGAAAGAAAAGAGCCAAAGAGCCAGGGACGATAAATTCATCCCCCCAAAACACAGGAATAAAATTTTTACATCCAAAAATATTTTTATAAATTTTAGTTAAAATAAACTACTAACATGCAAAAATCAATAAGATCTGTCAGTTCACCTACCTACTTGATCTCTGAAATTCATTTATTTTCTCCCTCTATAATGTCCTTTTCCTCCAACTTAAGATACTTTGCTTTATATTGTTTTGACAAATGCTAAAAAAACTAAAACTTGATTCTCATAATTCTAAGAAACATGGAATACTAGACAATGTTTGTTTTGCTTAAGACAGCTTCCATGAATGAGAAATAAACATTCGAATCCTTGATTTGATGGTAAATTCTGGAGGTGTTCAGTCCCTTTGTAGACTTTTCCAAGAAACATAGTTTTCCCAGGAGTGTGGGGAAAGGAGGAGTGCTGAACAGGGACATTCCTGGTAGCACAATGGTGCTGTATGGTGTTATAGTAAATATATGACATTGCACACTGGCTGAAACTGAACCAGCTGCAATGGAAACTTTAATGGAAGTTTCAGTGGAAAAGATCAGAGAATCTTGGAATGGACAATGGATTATGCAGAAAGTATGCAAATGTATAAAAGGTAAAAGGGCCACTCACAGTTAAAGGGGTTGAAAATAAAATGCTGACCAAGCCATTCTAGAAGTATGTAAACTCATAGACTAAAGGAACATCACAGAGGAGCTGTACTTTAATTGGTAAGTTTATCATGGACTTGTACCAACATTGGATTATTAACCATAATATGAAATAAAAATCTATGAATCTTTATTGCTAACAATAAATGACGCAACAAAAGAATGTGAGTGCTTGATCATATGCAAATACACATATAGGAGGACTTTGGATAAATCATGTAAACACTTATGGTGATATATTATTTATGATTTATTAAAGCTTAGCTGGGGATTCAGAAAGCAAAGTCAGCCACAAGCCATAGAAGCCAGGCACACACATTTAATCCCAGAAGCCAGAAGCTAGGAGGTGGTGGTATACATATTTAATCCTAAAATTCAGTATTAAGAGATAGATGGATCTCTGTAAATCCAAGGTCACCCAGATCTACATAGACTGATCCAGTCCTGAAGAGAAACAGCTCACACAATGATGATTTCAGCACCTGGGATCAGGTGCCTTTAATCCCAGTCCTAAGGAGGTATATAAGACAGGAGCAAGGTCTTGGTATTGAGCATTTATTCTCCAGCCACATTGAAGATAGGAGGCATTCATTTTTCTTCCTCATTGAGGATAGGAGGCATCCATTTTCCAATCATGTTGAGAATAGGAAAATCCCAGCACTTTTAATTTTTTTCAATGTTTAACAGCTTTATTGAAGCTGTTATTCAAATATACACCTCATCCTGTAGGCATGAGTTTTCTGGCCTGGCAGGTCCTGTCACTATTCTCAGCCCCAAAGAAACATAAGGATGCTTTATAAGTTATAAATCTGTTGTCTGGCTAAGGATTCTTATTGGCTACCTCTGTCTTAATTATTTTTTTCAACTATTTTTATTTGAATTCGAAATGGCATTGTTTTACACGACAATCCCAGTTCCCTTCTCCCTCCTGTCCTCCCCTACCCCCCCCCCAATTAAAATCCTATCCTTTCTGCCTCCCCCATGGTGAGGCCTTCCATAGGGGGTCATCAGAGTCTATTGTATCCCTTGGGATATGGC